TTATATTGGAAATTTGCAGCTCTGTACACCTCTGCTCTCTGAAGGACCAGCAGCCTGTGTTCAGCTCTGCTGTGGGACCCTTGGGGGGCTGAGATATTGATCAGAGCTGGGTGAAACAGCTGAAAGGACTCAAATCCCATCTTCCTTCATGCCTGGTGTGAGGACATGGCAGAGCTGGGCTGGTGGGTGTTTTTGGAGCAGGTGCCAGGTCTGATTGCAGCCCTGTGCCTCTTGGTTGTAGCATATTTGTGATGTGGTCACTGTGCTAGATTCTTGCTTGCTTGCAGCACTACAAGTCACAAATTCAGCTTGCTTACCCTCAAATGATGCATTTTAAATTTTTTACAGCAACAACAAGTAACAGATATTTATAGTCCCATTAATTTAGGAGTGTTTTAAAATGTTTGTTTAGTGTCGCGCTCCCTTCAGAGGAAACAAAATATTTTGGGGTTTTGTCAGTGACAACAGCAGTGCACTTACTGTTAAGAATAACTTGGCCTTGCCCAGGGCAGTGCATTGCAAAAAAGTGTAAGGAGTGCATAGTGTTGGGCTGGTTAGATGGAAAACAGAACCAATGCATTACTCATCCTTTTTCATTTGGGTTGGCTTTTTCTGTGCTTCATGACTCCAAGAAAAACACATTTGTCCAATTTACATACAAAGGGAGAGTCAGGATGTATCTTTCATATAACATCACACTTTGCAATGAAAAATATCAGTATGTGTCATTGCCATGTGCCTGCAAACACATGGAAACAAAGGCAGCATTAGTATTCCATGGGAATTGCTCAATTTAAATTGAGTCTCTTAAAACATCTTAGTGCTTTAGTTGCTTGAAAACTTGCATTTGGAGCAAGTTGAATAATGTGTCTCTTAAGATTTTATCCTAAATATCCATACTGAAGCAGAGTGGATGTGGCCAAGCAATCCTGATATGGAATTTGTGGTGCTTTTCTGGCTCTGAAAGGTGTGAGTTTGTCAATGATGTGATGTTTTGCATGTGCCTGTGCAAGCTCTGGTGGATGTTGCACTCTGGACCCACCAGCACAGGCAGCATCCATCCTGCTTGCAGAAGATTCTTCTCTAAATCACACCTCAGTGTTGCAGTATTTCAACCTGAAAATAATTCTTTACCCCTTTATCTGTAGCACATTTGAGTCTTCTTTACTCCTGTTCTGAGGCAGTGTTGAATAAGATGAACTGATTCACTGGTGTTTAGGTCTTCCAAGTTTGAAGAAATCTCAGTGATTTCTGGGACACAAGTGTCTATTTTATTTATATGTAGTTCTCTTGAGTCCCCGAGATTCAGCAGTTGGGATGAGAGTCTCTTTTGAGTTTTAAAGACTGTTTGTTGCAAGCAAACCCTGTAGGCTTTTACACTGAGAACTAAGCTGTTCAAAGAAAGATGGCATCATTGTATTTCAAATGTGTTATAAAGGACAGCTCCGAGGTATCCTGGAGTATTTGGGCAAAGGTAGAGAAACTGAAGAAAACTTGCTATTGTCTGAAATGTTTCTGAATTTTTCTTGTGTATTCAAACCTCCTTATATTTGCAATAAAGGAATATTTTAAAATATTTAAAGTCCTGGTGCAAATTCTCTTTACAAAATATCCCCCAGTGATTGATGGAGTGTATGCTGTCTGTTTAAACAAGAAATCACTGAAATACTTTTCCACTCAGTGAATCTCTTTGTCTGTTTTATAGAGGAGGTTGCACCATTGGACAGAGCCCTGTTCTCATCTGGTGTGTGTTGACACAGTGTAGCTGGCATTAATTGAGCGATGCTAACTGCTTCTTAATTGACACCATTAGCTGAAAATCTGCACCAAAATTCAGTGGCAGTAGTCGACTGCAGATAGCCAGGAATGTGAGAGTATTGAACAATCATTGTAGGAGATGAAGAATGAAATTGAGTGCTAATTTCTGAGTCTCTATGAACAAATGCTGTAAGAAAGGGCTGAAGGGTTTTAAATGTCTCGAGCAAATCCCATGTGCTTGTAGCTCTCTTGTTCGTTCTGCTCCCAGTCCTTTAGGTTAGCTGGTGATGTAGAACTGTGCCATAATGTTTATCCCCGTGTATGTCTTATTCTTAAAGAGGATTTTCACTTCTGAGTGTCGGATTAGAGCTTGTTCAGCCACAGCACCAGCAGCAAGAGTAGTTGATCTCAGCACAAACTTGAGATTTCCAGGGCAATTGCTTGAAATTAGTTTTATGAAACATTTGCTCGGAACAGTTTATTTAAATACTCCATACAATGCAGTGATTACTTTTCCAAAGTGGATGATATTAAGTATGTTATTCTCCTGTCACATTTGGGGGAAGAGTCTCTTTTATTCCTTATAATTGGTTGTCCTTGATGCCCAAGTGTGTAATTCTGTGTTGTTTTTCTAGTGTAATTTTCCCTACTTTTCAAACCCCCACAAGTAGTATATAACTTGTTGGCAGTGGGCTGTGCTCTCTTTTACCTGGGTTAAATAGCTCTGCAATAGCCTAGTGCTGTGGTACAGGGAAGATTCACCCCTGGAGAATATCACTTGTTTCATGGAAAAGAAACTGATGTCATTGCTGTTAATGTCCCCTCACCAAGTGGTGGCAGTCTCAGATTAAGTGAAGTATTAAGAAAACCTTTGCTTCTTTTGAAGTCCTTTTGTGGGTAGAATTAAGGTTGCTCTGGTTCCTTAATTGTGCCTGTCCCTTACATAGTTACTTAGGATTCTCTTTCTTTGTAACCGTGCTGTGATTTTTTTTCCAAGAATTTACTCTTTGGGTGTTTATGATCTTTGTGGTTTAACTTTGGTGTATGAACCACATTCAGTGTGGATTGTGATTCAATGGTAGTTTTTATAGAGAGGTAAGATTTCTATGTATAGCGTTTAAATAGTTTACTCAATCCATGTATTAGGCTGAGGTTTTAAAATTTATTGTATATTGAAAATATAGCTGCAATTTGCTGAAGAACAAATGCTGTTGACAGACTTAGTTTAACACAGTGAATGTGACAGGAAATATTTTCCACCCTGCTAGAAGCTTTTCCCCACCTGTATCAGGTTTTTGATCCTAGGGGAGGAAAGATGCATCAATTGTTGCAGAAGAACCAGAGAGCTGAAGCTGTAAAAAGACTTGGACACTGAAGGGCTTCCAAAGCCCTCCTTTGGGTGTTCCAGTTAGAAGTTGCATGTGTACCTAACTGTCCTAAATAAAGTGCAGGAGTGTTTGTGAATTAGTTTAAAATATGTCTGATGGGGAGACATGTCAGCACTTCACCTATGGCAGCATTCAAAAGGATTTTTAGCACATAATTTAATATAAAGATCAGAACATGTCTGCCTAAGGGTGAAGAATCACTCTTTGAAACTCAGAGAAGAGCAAGGACATCCTAAAGAGGAGTGCTTAGCACTGATCTCCAAGTTTGCAGGGAAGATTTGAGATAGCATAAAATGAACTAAACTCACAGCATGTAACTTGCTTAGTTTATAATGAGTATCAAGTTATTAACTATAGGGGAGAATGGCATGGAATTTATTATTTTGCACGGTTTATTATTTTACACAGTGTGACATGGGATAGAGTTAGCAAAACATCATCACGCTTTGCTAATTAATCTGGCCACCAGCTCTCAATCTTTGTTTAACAATAGCAAAACTATTCCCAGGCATTCAAACTAGTTTTTAATAATACAGTCAGCTAGTCAAAATAAGTATTCTTGTGCAAAACAAGAAGCATAACAGCTAGCTAATGGTACATCTTACATTAGTTACATGAAAAATTCTAGTTGAATATGCTTCAAGTGGAATTAGGAACAAGGGGAATCTTTGCATATGCTGTAGCTTAATTCATGTGCATGCAATGAATTATCCAGGTAATTAAAGTTACTTGGTGCAGTGAATGGCTTTAAAGGAGATACAGGAAAATTGCTTGGACTTAAATACCATAAATATATAATTGCAGAAAATTGTATAAATTTGTCTTGGTGTCTGTTGTTTCTATAATGTAAACTATGTTTTGTGCTGTAACTGGATTTTGTTGCTGCAGGGTGTTTTGGAAGTGAGACAACCCATCTTCATAGGCTTTTTGGTAAACAGTTTTTAACAGGAAATCATGAACATGCTTTATATGTCATAAAGCTAAAACAAATGCCTCTTTGAATTCTTCACATACTCAAATTGTTGGGCATTTCAGTTTGATTCTTCCTTTTCATAGTCTAGGCTTTTCTAATTGAACTCCTTAAGCTGTTTTGCCTCTTTCAGCTAGAAGTCAATTCCTGTCATTGGCACAGTTCCCCATGGAGATGGACACCCAGTGATACCATTAACTGCATCACAAAGATTTCGCAGCTCACTCCTGGTAGAAACCCAGGTTCTGGCTCAGTTCTCTGCACTTCATGGGCATTCTGCTCTCCCCAAACTCCTCATCTCCTGTTGTAAATTCTCACAGATTTCTTCCAATTAAATGAAGTTTACTTTGGACCAACTTCTATACGGCTTTTCATTAGTGAATTGAACAGTGAAACAACGTTTTGTTCCCCCTGCCACAGGTGGTCCTCAGATTGATGACTCTGAGGCCAACTGTGCATCTAAAGAGCCCTGAGCTCAGTTTTGGATGCTCTGTCACTGCCAGTGTGAGCTTGCCAGGCACAGTGGCTCTGCAGTCTCTCTGTGTGGTACATTGTTCACAGTCAAACAAGGAAGGAACACATCCCATCCTGCTCTTCTAACAGCTGAGGACACCAGTAGGCAGAGAAGTTAAATCTGTTTTCTGACGATGCCAAACCTGTTTTGCATAAAACACATACAGTTATTGTCTAAAAGACCTGATCAAATGGAGGTGTCTGTGTTTCTTTATGTGTGCTCTTAAAAGCTGAGTCCAGGTGTCTGTGAGGTCACCAGACTGCAGGTAGCCTTAAGCGTGCTTAAACGTGTGGCTCGTGTTTTCAGGTAGTTTTATAGCTCTGTGTTGCTACTGGCATCTGATTCTGACTAGGACAATGTTTTATCCTAGGTTTTGAAACTGCCAAGTCCCTTGCCCTGCATGGGGCGTGTGTTATCCTGGCCTGCAGAAGTTTGGCACGAGGCAACGACGCCGTGCAGCGCATCCTGGGGGAGTGGGTGAGTGCCTGCACAGTGCCCAGCACGGAGCTGTGCTTCCAGAGACATGAAATCCTCTGTGCCAGCAGTCCAACAGAGCACTGCCACGTGAGAATTGCAGGAAAAAGTAATTTGTCTTATTTGGTAACACCGTGCTCAGTCGCTGGTGAATGGGTGGTAGAGGTTTTTCATTCCTTGTGAGTGTGTGGGACTGCAAGGCTGCAGGTGTGCTGTTATCCATGTTATTTATGGATGCTTTGCAAGGGAAAAAAAAGTGTTTGGGAGAACCACTGAGGTTTGGTTTATACAAAAGGACATTCCAAAACCGAAGTGAATAAGTATCCAAAGGAGGATGGTCACAGTCCTCCAGAGCAGCCACTGTTTTGCCCATGGTTACAGTGAGAGATTTCAGAGGGTCAATTTTGTGCTTTTCAAACACAAGAATGTTTCTCCTTTTCTCTCTGAGTTCATTAGGCTCTGCAGCCCTGCTGCCAGCCTGTCTCAGTGGTTTTTCCTGCTAGCTTCTTCCTACTTTCTTTTATTTTTCTCCCGTTTCTGTCCCACAAACACAAGATTTTCAGTCCCATCTATTGCCTTGTTGCTCTTTGACTCCTAACTTTCCCTGATCTCCAGTTTTTAAAATGATCTTCTGAGGCCCTTATTAAAATTTATTCAGCTGTCCTAATTTATTCCTTCCACAATCATCTATTTGCTGGCATGGTTTGCAAGCTACTTTTGTTTGAGCTTGCTGGGACTGCTGACTTCCAGGAGAGAATGTGGTGACATCTCTACACTTAAATGAATAAGAGACCAATGGATCAGATTCTTGGATTTTTATTTCTTTCCAGCTAAAATTAGTGATGAGTGTTTTGCTTTAATTTTCTGATCTGTCAAAGTATTTCAACTGCTCCCAGATGACATGGGAGAGCACTCAGTAATACTAATATTTACATATAAGTAGTCTAAAGATAATTATAATATTTATTAATGTAAAACAAATGGTGCTTATTTATGTGCATTTCCAGATAAGTGATGCTTTCAATATTGCTAATTTTTGTCACCACAAGTTTCATGAAGAATTAGTCTTTGGATTTAGACCTTTTTCTCTGGCCCAGATCATATGAATGATTTGTAGTAAAGGGTTGGTTGGGAAAAATGCCTTCCTTGCTGCTTTCATCCCATTAAAGCTCTTTTTTTTCCTTTTTTAAAAATTTAATTTAAAAACATTTAAAAAACCCTAAAACATTTCAGTAGCTTAGAATTCCAGGAAAATTCCAACAGAGGCCAGCATAGTGTGTGTTCTCTTTCAGTAGAACTGGATTTGGTGATATTCTGCTTGGATTTGATAGCCCCAGTCCAGCTAAATATGGCTGTTTATATGGGTTTTATCTAACTAAAATTGGGCAGTGGTGAAAATATTTTCTTTAAGAAATATCCCATTACCTTCTTAATCCTAACCATATCTCTGAGCACTTTGAAGACAATGGGAGATCAGAATACTTGTCTTAATACCTGTATTATCTCACTAAAAGTTAATGAGTTGTTAATTGAATGAAGAACGTTGAAGGTCAAATTACTTCAGAAACACTACATTTATTTACTAACAGTTTTCAAATTCTAATTGTTCAGAAAAGGAGTCTCATCTGTAAACTGGTAGCTGGAAAACCTTCAATGCATCTTGGTAATGGCTTTGTTGTTGTTTATTGAGAGGGACTAATTAACTTTGATTATTGCACTAATATTATGGCACTTTGACAGTCCCTCAGATTTATGACTCTGGGAAAATAAACAAATGAAATGCAGGTGCTGGAGCAGAAAGAATAAGTTATTACTGAACTTTAATTACTTGGAGTGTGTAACCAGGAGAGAATTAGTTGATGAATTACAAGATGCTTAAAATTTACATCAAATTGTAAGCAATCTTGAGGAAAACAAACACAAAAACCCGCCCCAAAATCAGTTACTGAAAACAAAGAGACAAAGATTAATTTGACTGATTTGCTTCTAATATTAAAATATCGATGTAAAATATTAATTTTTAGCTTATAGGTGTAACTACAGGAAGTTGTTAATTGAAAATCCTTTTTGAAAGAGTTTAAAAAAAATCAACAACCTCTGCATCTGATTCAGGTGAATTCTCAATATGTAGCTGCAACCGTTCTGCTAGAAAGAACTTCAAAGCATGCACAGAATTTTCTCTCCTCTGTTCCTAGGGAAAGCAAAATTATTGAAAGGAAGTTGATTTACTTTTCAATTTGGAATCAATTCAAAGAAAAATACAGCTGCTTAGGTTGCAGCCTCACAAAGCCTCATGTTCATGGTACTCAGTATTTTCAGTAGCAATAGTGCTACCTGCTCGTTTTATGTTTTCTTGTAAATCTTTAAGTCTCTGAGCTGCACTATTAAATACAATGTTCTTCCAGTAATTTGAGGGGTAGAAATGTAATAAATATATTCCTACACTTCAACTGAGTTCTCAACCTTTTCAATTTGCATGAAATATGCTCTTGTAAAAAAACCAAAAAACCAACCCAAACTGTTGCCAAATGGAGTTCAGTGTGTTTACCTGTACTAAGTGTGGAGTTTTACTACTGTGTTGGAATATAATTGATATTTCTATATGAACATGTATATTACTAAAAGCAGTGTGTACCCTATGCTGGCATTTCTGTGGGACAGAAATCCAGAAAGAGATCTTTTGGTACTCAAGGTTTAGATGTTGGACACAGAATATTTCTTTTTCCATTCTTTGTTGATACAAAATGGTTCCACATGCTTTGCAAGAAGAGCAAATAATTAAAAATGTGTAACAAAACAACTTAATATCTCAAATTTTGAGACAATTATCTAATTGATGGCATGCACTAGCTAGACCCGAAAACATATATGAAAAAAACTGTAATTTTTAAAACCCCAATCACCACCTCTACCAAACCACAACAAAATAAACCAAACCTAAATCAAACCTAGTGTAATGCAGCATTTAAAAATAAAGTTCTGTACCTAAAATCACAGTACTAAGGAAAACCACCCAGCTTGGTCCCTTAGTCTGCTTGTGACATCCCTGTCTGGAATGCCACAGATCTGCAGAAACACTTGCACTTCAAAATCAGTTGTTAGGCAAAAAATGCAGTTTCAGTTTGCTTGTAGTGAAAGCTGAAAATCAAGTTTATAAAGACAAAATGGGACGGCTAAATGGCTTGGGAAAATCCAATTGTTAAGATTTAGAGAAAAAAGCAGGAATAATGGGAGAAAATAAGATTTTTTTCAGATTAGCTGCCATTATGTTTAGAAAACAAATGCAAACTGATCTTAACTGGCTGTTGTAGAAAAATCTAGAGAACTTTGTTTGTAACAATTTATGCCTGAAGAGCTGTTTTATAGGGAGTTTGAGCCATTTGAGTAGGGATTACCCATATAAACTTGCTAATTACTTTGGTTAACAGACATTTGTTTGCAACCTGCAGTATTCCAGTTATTTTCTTTCTAAGCCACAGCAGAATTTTTCTAATATTGCAAATAAAGGGTAATTGCCTTGTGTAAAGCATTGTGACAAGTTTTAATGTAATTGGTCTGGCTGGTCTATCAAATATAATTTTTATGGAGGGATATGGTTGATTATATTGGTGCAATCTAATGTTTATACACATGCATATATATAGACAGAAAAAGGAAGAGAAAATATGGAAAGGCAGCAGATAAAAAGAGAGATCAGTACAGCTTTACATTTGATATCTTGAAAATGAGTGTTCATGCTCGGTGACGTTCAATATCAATTTAAAACTGTTTGATAATTTCTTGCTCGGGAAAGAGGAAATTAGAATTCTAGAGTTATGATTCATTTTAATCAGAAAGAAATTGTCAAACATAAATCTCTCCTTGAGTAGTGAAAAGGCCTGAAAGCAGCCAAGAAAAATATCAATACTTTGCAAAGGAGGAATGATTGTTCCAATTCGTAGCTTAATTGACTTTGAGGCTTAATGAAAAACACTCCAGTGCTGTTTGTACACATAGTTGCTCTGACGAACATGGAAATCTATGCTCCAGGAAGAGAGGCTAGGTAATTTATTTTACATTATTATTGATATAATTTTCTAATTGAGTATGAGCAGAATGTTTGGATAAGACTGCGTAGCTCCAGATGTTAGTGGTATTCTCAAGAAAATACTTAAGAGTATGAATGAATAAAATATTTCATAAATCACAGCTTTTCTTGCCAAGAACCTCTCATTTATTTATTCCTGTCAAATAGTCTTTGAAGAAGATATTAAAAGATAAATTGTAAGTTTAATATTTCATAAAAAGTATAATGTTTCTTTGGTAATTATTCCTCAGTGTTAAACCTACAGCTACATTAAAGATAAGATTAAACTGTAAAAAGATCATTTGGATTTGCTGTTTAAGTAGACACTCACAAGGTAGAGATGTGACAAGAGAAGAGAGAAAAGCTGTGAAGAAAATCAACCAAACAAACGTGACTCCTTGCTGTATTCCTTTCCCCTGAAGTATTCTTCACCGAAAGAGTGATTTATATTCTTGCTGATTAAGTAACTGAATAAAATTAAAACCTGATAAGTGAGTCTTTGTATTCCAATTGTGATCCTGTAAAGTGCAGAAAGAGAAGCAAACTGGGCACATTTACCAGACCGTGGGCAGCAGTTTTCATCTGGTCACTGTGTGTGCTTCCCCCTCGAGGAAGGGGCTCTGTGTTCCCATGTTGTGTTTTGTCTCCACTGCTGTCCTTGGTTTAGAATTTTTTTGTAAACCTCCTCATAGTTAGTAACAGGTTTTCATTCATGGGAAAAGCTGAAGACTGCCTAGAAGGTGGCTTTGGAGATGTAGTAAATACTGACTGGAACCACAGTCTGCTAGTACAGAATCAAAGGGTTTCAAAGTGGTGCTAAATAAAAGCTCTTAAAAATAATCCTCAAAATAGGAAATATTTCAGAATGTCCTACAAGTAAAGCACATGAATTTCTGTGAGAATATTACTTCCAATATTATGTTATTATTTTGTAATA